ATTAACGAACGTGTAGAATTAATGGTAATGCCTCACTGGCCTTGTAGCTTACTTACAATTTTTCCTTTAAAAAAGACGTTTTTACTACTCTTCTGATGGGAACAACTGGAATTCACTGTTTTTTCGTGAGCGAAGAATAAAAAGTGAACGATTGTTTGTAGCCATTGGAAAGTCGATCTCCCTTACACTTTCATGAATAGAGGCCACTTCTGGCGCCCTCTTCGTGAAGATCATGTTGCGAGGCTGATCTTTATTTATATGTAATCGGCAGGAGTACCTTACTTTTAAAACAGTCTGCAGCTGCATTGCAAGCAGAGCTTGCAGTAAAATGACGATTTCTGTAAAAGTACGCAGTATGCGTCATTTTCGCTGGTGATTCATTCCATTCTCATGGAAGGGACTGGTAGCTGTCTTTCTTCCCATTAGGTGCAGACGAGTTTGATCGGCTTGCGCAATGCCGTTTAAGTGGTCTGATTAACTTTGGACTAGTTTATGGTTGACTTCGCTATTTGGTTATTGGCTAAATCTTCTAGTTCAAACCCATCGCATCAAAGACGACACAAGCTGCCTTACTAAATTAAGAGCTTATCAAGAACGTCTATTTTACGTAGATGACAAGCCCGGATTGCATTTAGATGGGCGTACAGTGAAGATTAAACACGGGAACACTTACCTGCTTGCGATGATGGCAAATGTGGTCTTCGCCACAGCAACAAACTTTGTTTAATATTATTACGAGACTTTATTTCTAACTTTTGGGCATGAATATAGGCTATTCTGCTGTTTAACTTTGTTAGCCTTACTTAACGATGACCAAGCAAACCGCTTCAAATTATTACCCCATCGGCTACAGTAACTGTGAAAGCTTGTTAATCTCACTGAACCTTTCGCTAATGAATTATTGGTGATCGGAAGGGAATTAGTTTCGCTATGCACAGATTTATTACACGTTCAAAAGAAATGATTCGACGCCACCGTTCGTATTGATCGTTGAAGAACCTAGGTGGAAACATTTCTTCATACGATCTGTCTCCACAACACATTATACACTAGATCGATGATAAAATTTTGCTAATTTATTATGCCAATAGTCTCTTCGAACATACCTTTACAAGTTT